CCGCCCTCAGCTCGGCACCTTCAGCACCAGGCGGGCGGACAGCTCCCCTTGGGCGCGGGCTTTGCATCCCGTTGCCCAAGTTCCTGGAAAGGGAACTAGAAAGTGACCGAGGAGGAGAGGGCTGGGGACTGACCCCCCGCGACCTGGGCACGAGCGGTCCGGTGGGTACCGAGGACCCTCCAGCGACAAGCGCCGCGCGGCGGAGCCCGGGTTGCGGGAGCCCTGGGCACAGCCCGGTCCGGCTGAGCCGCAGCTGCGCCCCGAGGCGGGGAGAACCCCCGCGATGCCCTCCCGGGGCCTCGGCTCCCCGCCTGCAGGCGCGCGGTCGCAGAGAGCGGGGTGCTGAAGCAGCCTCATCCCGATGGCGTCCGGGCTCTGTTTAAGGGGCATCCCTCCCGCTCTCAGAATTGGGCTTCTCAGGTCATGACGGGTCACGGTTTAAAACAACGCTCTCTCGCCCGAAGCGGTGGCCAAGGGATGACACGCACGCAGCGAGACGCGGCCGTGGCGAACGCACACAGCCAGAGGTGCTGCATGCGCGCCCGCCCAGGTGTGCGGGGAGCGTGCCCCGCGCTCAGACTGAGATACAGGACGCTGTCCCCCGCCCCGCGTCGCAGCGACGCCCACCCTGGGGGAACCGCTGTCCTGTCCTCCGTCCCCTGGGCCTGCTTTTGCCAGCTCTTGAATCTCACACGGAATCGGGCAGTATTTTCTACTTAACAGCTGGTTCGTTTCACCAAGTACGGTGTCTGCCCCAGGCAGCCCTGTTGCTGCTGCGTGGAGCAGTTATTCATGATTTTTTTTTATCACTGCACGTGGCATTTCATTGTGTTATTCAATACACCACGCATTATGGGGCAGATATGAACATCTCTCTCTCTCTATTTTTTGGCGCTCATGGGGAAGGCATGTTTCGTGATAATAAATATTAGTAGAGATTTTCGAAGTGGCTGTTTCGAGTCACCCTTCTCGTTGGCTGCGTGGCTTCCACACGTGGCCTGGATGAACTGCCACCTTCTTTTTCTTTTTCATTACAGGCATCCTGATATTTCCCTCTGGTTTTATTCACCGAGCTCCTTTCCGATTCTTACCAGCCACTGGATTGTCTTCTTCTATAAAAGCTTATTCGAGTCTTTTGCCCATTTTGAAACTAGCAGCCTGCTTCCTTCTTGTTTGTAGAAGCTCATTTTGTGTTTCTGATCTGAGTCCTTTCCTGAGTGAGTGCGATGGATCCTTCCCTCAGCCCGTGAGCCACCCGGACATTCTCCAAATAACGATCACTCCGAACACGATCGCTCCGTGTCCTACTTAACAAAGCACTGAACACCCAGAGGTCATAAAGATAATCCGTGTTTTCAACGCGAACCTTTAGAAGAAAGCCTTTCCCTTAAGTCTATGTTTCATTTCTACCTTTAGCATATGATTTAGTTTATGAGTTAATGTTCACTTTTGTGCAGATAACCGACTGACCCAGCATCATTTATTTAAAACAGCATCTTGTTCCCACGGAATCTGCATAAATCAGGTGGCCGGATAGGAATGCATCTTTTTATGGGCTCTGTTTTCTTTATCCACGCTTGCCCCAACTCCACACTTTAAACCAAAGCACCAGAGCTGCAAAATCATTGTGGAGATCGATGATTTCTAGTACTCTGAATTAATTCTTTTGGCTGTTCTAAGCCACTTGCATTTCCGTATAAGTCGGCTCGCAAGTTTTCCTCCCAATTTTTGAAGCCGTTTACTCTGCAAGAGTCACGAGCGTAGAGAAACTTATACGAAAAATGTCCACACGATGTGACCTAATCTACAGTCCCTGGTCTAACTTTGGTCATCGTTCCAACAGCCGCTTCATAAACATTCTCCCCCACATAGTCAAGAGCCCATCCCGGGTCACACGATTCACTCACTCGTCGTCTAGTTAGTGCGTTTTTAATCTAGAAGCTTCTTGGCCTTTCGTGGTCTTTTAGAACATCGACAGTTTCAGTAGAGACCAGTGATTTTGTAGAATGCAGCTCGGTTAGGGTCTGTCCGCCATTTCCTCCTGATAAGACTCCAGTTACGTATTTTGGGCAGAAATCCCGAGCGTTGTGTCAGAGTCACACGGCGCCGGTTTGTCCTGCCCTGGGCCACGTCCATCGCTGGGTTAAGCTGCTATCTGCCAGCTTTCCCCACTGCGAAGTTACTTTTCTTTTTTAATTGTGAATTATTCTTTCGGGGAAAGTCTTTGAGAATATTTAACTATCTTCGTTTTTGCTTGCATTGATGATTCTCGCCTGCTGGTTGTAAAACGCTGATATATTTTTTAGATCCTGTTTTCTAATTGCGTTGCTGTAATGTATTTTCTAATCATTCGTTCCTCCTACATTGATGAGCCCTTTATCTCTTCCTGTATTATCACGTTCAGTATGGACTCGTGGTTCATTGTTTCATCCCATGTATTTTAATCCATTACTGTCATTATATATTGTTATTCCCGAATTATCCAAGATTTAGACAGTAGGCACCTCTTCAGGCTGACGCCTGGGTCTTTTTAGCGTGTCCCCAATATATTTTCGAGTACGCCCTTACTTTTGGTGCAGAAAGAATTTCCATCATTTCCTTCTTCCGGCCACAATTTCCCCCCCGGTTCTTTACGATTAGGAATTTATTTATTTCAAAAACAATCTCTAATGCATCTGAACTGTCATTGCTTTGAGATGTGTTAAAGGACCAAGCTAGAATATATATATATATATGTTACTTAAATTTAACCACACTATTTTAGCATGGAAGAGCATACGTTATATTATATACATCATGTATTGTATACTGAAATTCCTGCGTATTCACAGCTGTTTCTCGCGGCAGACTTCCTCACGCTTTACCCACTCGAAATTTTCCTCTTCCACAGCGAGACTCTTCATCCACAACGAAATTAATATTTTCATTAGTTTGCTCAACCCTACGATACAGGCAACGCGGCTTCGGACTTGCCGAAACCACCTGCCTCGTTAAGCTAAGAATACAAGCAAATAACCAAAATATCGTGTTCAGAAGTCACCGATGTAGGTCTTTCCCCGCCGCCCCCGTACAGTTCTACTATTAATTTAAACTGGAGCCGAGTTTGTCATTCATTTCTACTTGTATTCGACGTCAGGGTTTTCCTCCCTGGTGGTCAATTTAAATATATTTTTTAATATGTAATATTTACACGATTCCCAAAGTCTAAACTATACAAAAAGGAATAAGGGTTACCCAGAAAACTGTCCATCCACCCCTCCCTTCCCCTTGTCCCTCTTGCATATGACCCATTCCGTGAATTTCCACGTTCTTTTATCTATCTTTTGTTTTACAAAAACAGATGCGTAACTGTTTTTTCATTCATTTATTTTCTTTCTTTTTTTTAATACCGCATTTTTTTTCTTTCTTTCTTTTTTTTTTTAAATACCACGCACTATGAAAAACTTCGTTCATGTTGCTTCTGTAAGTTCCTCAGCAATGTGTCTTGGAAATTACTACGGCAGTGGACACGGCCCTTGTTATTTCTACACGGCTATGTAGTACTCTGTGCTAAAATATTGTAACGTCGCGATCGGCCTACATTGATTGGGGCTATTTTAGTCGTTTCTAACATGCTGGGTCCTATGCCTCTGCCCGCTTATTTTCATACTTTGGAGCTGAGCCTTCGGAGTAAATTCCTAGATGCGAGAATTCAAGGTCAAAGGGCGAACGTGTCATTTAGTCACGCGGTGCCAAAGGGACATTTCCTTCATTTTTCATTCTGACTATGGAATGGTTTCTCCTTAGCTTTGTCAGTACAGTGCATTTTCAAGGCGAGAAACGACGTTTCGACATAGTTCCGATCTGCCTTTGCATTTCTCTTCTGGGTAAAATTGAACATTTAAAAATGTTTATGGATGTTTTCTATTTTAGTAAACATCTTCTCATGCCCTTTGCAAGATTTTCTGTAAGGTAGCTTCTTCCTTGTGCTCAGGGTTTAAGAATTTCTATTTTTATATATTATAGATAGCTATTTTCCTACGGTATTTATTGCAAATAATGACTTCCCACTTGTCATTTTGCATTCGATTGGCTAACATTTTTCTCATCGTGCAAATTTAAAAATATTTCTGTAATCAAACTTATCAATATTTTATTGCATCTCAGTTTGGATACTTACATGGAAGCCTTTCTCCTCCAGCGGGTAAGAAGGGGGTCCACTTTGAGTTATTCCGGTACCTGTGCGATTTCCTTTTTTACATTCATATATGTCCGGCCCATTTGGAGTAGAGTCTTGTGTGCCGTGTAAGGTACGGATGCGATTTTGGTATTTTCTAAATGGCTACGCAGAACTCCCCACATAGTTATTCGAAAATTCAAGTTGGCCCCACTGATTGGAAATCGCATCATCGTCGTATATGAAATTTCTGTATAACCTGGATCTGCTTGTGAACCTCCATCTAATTCCAGTGGCTGCTCCTATACCAATGTGCCTGGACCAGAGCTTTGATTACTGTGTGCTGTTTTAATATCCGCTGGGCTAGTGTTATTAGCTCTTAGTCCTCTCGTTCAAGCATTTTTGCGCGCTCTCACATATATTTGAGAATTAACTTTACTCCCAGCTGGTAAAGCTCCAGAAAAAATCTTTTTGGCTGTGTTTTATCGGAGTTCTATTAAATGCATACATCAACTTAGGGAGAACCGACCTCTTTATGACGCTGACTGGTCCTATCCAATAACGAAGGATATTTGTTCTATTTGTTCGTGAGTATTTCACACAGAGTTTTCAAAAGTTTATTTCTAAGAGTTTTATCTTTTTTTATTTCTATCGTAAATGGTGCTCGTCCGATTGCTTATTATTCATGGGCATAAACATGTCCTTTTTTATACTATATTATATACTGTTTGCGTTCTGAATTCTCTTACTGTCCCAGTTAATTTCATCATTGATTCTCTAGTGTTTTCCAGTTTTGCTACCACATTGTCTGCAACTAGAGGTAGCTTTAGTACATCGTCCAGTTTCTACGTCTCCAGGAGCTGCTGTTGGTCTAATTGCAGCGGCTAACACCTTTCGCGTGATGATCAAGAGTAAAAGAAATTGTGGGCACCCCTTTCTAATTCCAAATCATGGAGAAAAGGTCTCTAGGGCTTCTTAATGGGAGGCAGACAGACAGATGGACAGAAGGAGAATGAGCAGATGCCCATACATAACTAATTTTGAGGGTTTTTTCTTAAAATCAGGAATGGATGGGTGTTGAAATTTGTCAGACTTTTTTAGCAACGATGGAGATAATCGAATGAATTTTCCCTATAGATGATTAATACAGTGAATTATATTACTGAATTTCATAATACAAAACCATTCTTACTCAGCTGAAAATAAACTTGAAAGTTTTCCTTCATTTGCTATA